CCGACTTTAAGTTCTGGCAGATCTTTGGCACCGCGATTGTAGTAATGTGCCTGCTTTTCGCGATTCTTTTCTTTTCGTTGATTAGTGTCTGTTTGTAGCTTCGGTTTAAGTAGAACGCTAGCTATCGGCAGATTGTTTCGAAGTCTGCGACCGAATAGACGTTGAGCAGGTGAACTGTTCAAGCCAACAGTTGGTGTGTTTCTCCACACAAGAAGGCTCATGTAGAAGTCCTCCTCTCCTTTCTTAGTCTTTTTCAGAAGCTGCTTTGCGATTTTCACCGCATTTTCCGCTTTTCCGTTACTTTGCGGATATTCTGGCGAACTTGTAGTATGCTCGAAACCGTATACACTCGCGAATTGATTAAAATCATGCGAATTGAACGGGGGTCCATTGTCGGATTGGAACGTTTCCGGGATGCCGTGATTCGCGAAATGTCTCTTCAATCGAGTGATCACAGCTGGCGCATCCTTTTTCCCGGTCAAGTTGTCTATCTCCCAGTAATCGGAAAAATAGTCCACTGTGCAAAGATAGTCACGGCCATCTAGCGAGAAAATGTCACATCCGATTTTCTGCCAAGGACGCGTTGGTAGTTCATGGTGTATGAGAGTTTCCTTCCTTTGTGATGAAGCATATATGTTGCATGCTTCACACCGCGACAAGTAGTCCTTCATGTCGGATGTCATATTCGGCCAATAGACACACTCCCTTGCTCTTTGTAGTGTGCTCTCGAGGCCTGTGTGACTAGCGTGTAGTTTTTTGCGAATTTCGACTCTCATGTCCGCGGGGATGACACATCTCAGTCCTTTGAACACGATACCGTTATCGCTTGTTAGTTCGTGACGAATGCTAAAGAACGGTCTTGCCTCCGGCGTACAAGTCTGGCTAGTGCTCGGCCATCCTGACGCAATATACTCCATCACTGCGTTCAGGGCTGTATCGCGCGCGGTAGATTCGCGGATCTCTTGTTGCGAATTCTGAGATACTGGAATAGCATCAATAAGGTGAATATGCTCGACCTCTTCTTCAATGCCTGATCTGTCACCGTTCTCCAGGAACGCTCGCGATAGTGTATCAGCAAGGTACATCTCTGTACCTGGTATGTACTTGATTTCAACATCATACTGACTCAGTCTTATCATTAGTCTCTGAAGGCGTTTAGGAGCTGTTGCAAGAGGTTTGCTCAAAATGTCGACAAGAGGCTTGTGATCCGTCAACAAAGTCACCTTCCGACCATAAACGTAGTCATGATGTCGCTCTAGTCCGAATACTTGTGCTAACAATTCTTTCTCAATTTGCGAGTAACGGGTTTCCGCTGGTGTGAGAGCTCGACTCGCATAGGACACCGGTTGTCCATCTTGTAGTAATGCATACCCGAGTCCGTATTGGGATGCATCACCTTGCCCCTCGGTGGGACACTTCTCATCGAAATATCGCAAAACCGGGGCGCGGCTGACCAGATCTTTGATTTCTTGGAACGTTACTTCTTGTTCCTGTCCCCACAGGAATTCTGCACCTTTGTGTGTAAGGCGTCTGAGTGGTTCGCTAATGTCCGATAGTCGCGGCAGGAACTTCCCGAGGTACTTCACCATTCCTACAAATCGTTGTATCGCTTCAACTGAATCTGGACGCGGCATATTCTTTATAGCTTCCACTTTCTTAGGATCAATTTTCAGTCCATCCTTACTCAGAACGTGTCCCATGAACTTGATCTGTTCAGACTTGTAGTCAAACTTCTCCTCGTTAAGGCGGATTCCTCGCTCAGAACATCTGTCGAGAAATGCTTTCAAGTTCTCATCGTGGTTGTCGTTCGCTTCAGCCATGTCGGCTCCATGTCCTGTTATGATGATGTCATCTGCGATCTTGAACACACCTTCCAACCCTTCCAAGTTACAGTCCAATTGTTGTTGGAATATCTCCGGCGCTGGGGAGATTCCAAAGGGCATCCTATTCCACTTGTATCTGCCCCACGGGGTCTGGAACGTTGTCAAACGAGTTGATTCATCATCAAGTTCTATTTGCAAAAAGCCTTCTTTACAGTCTGCTTTAGTGAAGACTTGAGCTTTGGACATGTGTGGTAGTACATCTTCAATCACAGGGAGAGGGTAATGTCCCCTTTTCAAGGCCTTATTTAAGTATAAGGGATCTATACATACTCTGATATTCCCATTAGGCTTCTGCACTGTTACCAAACCCGAGACCCATTCTGTTGGTTCTACAACCTTCTCGATGTATCCTAACCCCTCTAGTCTGGTCAATTCTGATTTCAACTTTTCTTTGACTGCCAAAGGCACACGCCTTGGAGGCATTACAACAGGCTCTACAGCCGGATCCACCTGAAGATGTACCTTCCCAGGCATCTTCCCACGTCCCTTGAAGACTTTAGGGTACGCATTTATCACATCTACTTTGCTTAAAGCTTTGCCTACAATTGTGCAACCATCTGACACTGATCCCACCACAAAGTTTTTGTGTTGTACTTTTAGGATTTTCATTATCTGGGACATCCTAGCACCTATCAAGGGCGTGCAATCCTCATGAACGACCACAAACTTTACGTCATACTTTCTATGGTTCTTTGGGTTCTTCAGAACAATGTTACATACACCTATCCCATCTACTGTGGCCTTATTACCATACAATGAGAGTCTTCGTGTACCATAGTTAATCTCAACATTGTCAGGGACATGTCTCTTTGGTATAACATTGCACGTGGCCCCGCTATCCACCTGCATTGAAATTTTGTTTCCTCGTATTAGAAATGCAGCCATCACTTTGTCTTTGTAGGTACTATTATCACCAATTGCATTTAGGGCCAACACCTCTTCACCATCATCTTGGACTAGTCTGATTTTGTTTCTGAACTGTGTCTCTTTCATACAGACCTTGGCAAAGTGATTCATATTGCCACATTTATTACACTTTTTTCCATAAGCTGGGCATTTTCGGACTTCATGAGAACCACCACAGTATTTACAGTTTTTAATGACCTTAGGCTCTTTATCTCTATAAGTGCTTTCTTTGTTTCTCAGAAATGAAACACTTTCATCACTCTTGGTCATGTCCTTCATGTGTTGCTTTGTTGCGTAGAACGCGTGGCCAATTTTGGTGCCTGCCTCGAGTGTGAGGTTACTTTCTTGGAGTAGCCTTTTTTGGAGAGTGTTGTCGGCAACTCCACACACCAGCCTATCTCTGATCAGGCTGTCTCTCAATTGCCCAAAATCACATGACTTGGCCAACGCGCGTAGTCTAACAACAAAAGCATCAAATGAATCTGACCCTTGAGTACAGTTGTTGAATTTAAATCTCTCATAGATAACATTGGTAGCCCCTGTACAATGCCTGCCCCAAAGATCTAAGACTACTGACATCTTCTGTCTGTCAGAATCCGACTCATATGGAAGGTTATTATGAATATCTAAGGCATCTGACCCAATGGCCATTACAAATGTGGCCACTCGTATTTTCTCATCTCTCTCTGTAAGACCAGTCACCAATTCATAACTATCCCATAATTGGCTGAATTTCGACCAATTGGACTTGAGGTCTCCTTCTACGGACAGCCTCGGCAGTGGAATACCCTGTGCCATAATCCAACACTATATGCTACACTTGGGACTACAATGTACAACTGACTACCAGTGCACCCGTACCACGAATTTATGCATACATATTCACAACAAATTTATGCATTCATCTTCATCAAAATGTTGCTTCCTACTACATCAAACAACAGATATCATATTATCAACCACTTCTGTCACCATGTAAATATCATATCCTTAATACAGGAGTTACATACTAGTTATAGTTAGGAGGCATAAAATGACAATAGTTACAACATGGTTATGTGCTATAAGAGAGGGCTATCAAAGCTCTTCATTTACTAGATGTATTTTCACTGTTACAAGTCTACCACAAGGTGGCGCTATTTCACTGTTGACTTCAAGATACATTGACTCATATCATTACAGTGTCCACAACACAATGCCTTGCATTGCCAATGCAGAAATATTTGGAATTTTTCTTCTCATTGGAGGTCTATGGAGCTAATTCTTGTTCCTCATGTTTGGTGAAGAAATGATGAGGTATTCGGTCTTGTCATCATTGGGTTCCATGTCCCTTGTATGTAATAAGTTCCTCCCCACTTGAATCCAAGGAAATGTGACACAAATGGCATATTATTTTGAAGACAGGAGCAACGGCCTTGTGTACACTAGCTGTGTCTTCTTGTAAGAACAGTGAGAAAGCTCTAATACACTGGCAGGTGCTGGCGGCGGTGTCATCCAATCAATGACGTATGCATCATCCTCAACCTTCCATCCATGGCTCACTGGAGATGGTGTTTCTGGTTTACCTTCAAGACAAAGCTTGTGGACAGCAGCTTGGTAGTTTGCCCTCTAATACACTTGGCAGGTGCTGGCGACAGTGTCATCCAATCAATGACCTACGCATCATCCTCAACCTTCCACCGATGGCTCTCTGGTTTAGCTTCAAGTCAAAGCTTGTGGAGAGCAGCTTGGTAGTTTGCCCTCTGTGTGTGCTTATGGAGAGCAGCTTGGTAGTTTGCCCTCTGTGTGTGCTTATGGAGAGCAGCTTGGTAGTTTGCCCTCTGTGTGTGCTTGTGGAGAGCAGCTTGGTAGTTTGCCCTCTGTGTGTGCTTGTGGAGAGCAGCTTGGTAGTTTGCCCTCTGTGTGTGCTTGTGGAGAGCAGCTTGGTAGTTTGCCCTCTGTGTGTGCTTGTGGAGAGCGGCTTGGTAGTTTGCCCTCTGTGTGTGCTTGTGGAGAGCAGCTTGGTAGTTTGCCCTCTGTGTGTGCTTATGGAGAGCAGCTTGGTAGTTTGCCCTCTGTGTGTGCTTGTGGAGAGCAGCTTGGTAGTTTGCCCTCTGTGTGTGCTTGTGGAGAGCAGCTTGGTAGTTTGCCCTCTGTGTGTGCTTGTGGAGAGCAGCTTGGTAGTTTGCCCTCTGTGTGTGCTTGTGGAGAGCAGCTTGGTAGTTTGCCCTCTGTGTGTGCTTGTGGAGAGCAGCTTGGTAGTTTGCCCTCTGTGTGTGCTTGTGGAGACTGTCCTTGTTTTGGGGTAGGCTCTTCTCTCCACAAGTCCCGCTCTTAAACAATTTACATCTTGCATCATTTACATCTTTGCACCCCTTCTGTCCATAAAGCTCACAAGTGTATGCCTAGCTCGATGCCTTCATACAGGATTAGAGGCACTGAAAACGACGTTCCCAGATTCTGAAATGTTGTACAGTGCTCTTTGCTAGACATCATCAATCTCAGAGCTCTTAACTTCCCAATGCCATACATGGCACTCACTGTGTCACATCCTGTGAAACAGTGAAATCCGATAAGGGCTCTGCACACATCTTGGCCGAAATGGTTGAAGACATTACCAATGGCGATGGTTTGGGCCTCTTTGCCTGGGTCTGTCTGGAAATACATATTTGCGTGGATATCTTTTGAGAAAGCCAGACAGAGGATGAACACATCAGTGGCGGGACTGTTGATTCATTTATTTTTCATTTATTTTTCCTCTTTCAATCGTTCATATTTACAATGATGGTACATTTTAACATATTCACATATTTATATACTTATAGATCAATTTGCACAATACAATACATCAAAAAAATAAACATGAAATTGAAAGGGAAGGAGGGCCGACTAAAAAGCAGAGTTTGTAGGGTGATTATATCAACACTACTACTGGCAGCATGTAGGCTGTGAAGGAGGAAGAAAGAATATTAAAAGTCTTACGTGGTGCTGGTCCCTTACAACATAAAACAGAATTTTACCCTTATCTATTTAAACACTTAAACACCTAACAACTAACACCTATTGGTAAGATATACAACTAGAAATAGTTTTTACAATTGTTTCTGCAATCAGTGAACTTGATGGAGTCCATGTTGCCCAGTATCTGCAGCATCACTGAGTCCACTTGCTGCATAAACCTGGCTTCCTAAACTCCACCCCAGTTGGTAACCCTTCCACTTCAAAGTCCATATGCTTATAGGATACTGTCTGGCGGCTTGTTCCTAGCATACTTTGCCCTATTGTGGATAAAATATTAAATCCATTCACATATTGGACAATGTTTAGTCTTTAATCTGTATCTCATTACAGTTTTATGTATGACCGAAACCCCATGTTTTCAAGGGGTCCAGACTTTTGTGACATTTCATATCGATCGTAGGTGAACCATAGACCTACCGGTGTATATATATGCTATAAAGTAAAAGGTTGAAATGGGTGCATAAACCATGTAAACGGAAAACAGTGCTACTTGGAGTAGAGTCCGAAATGTAATATCAACAGATACTTAAGTATGAAACCACAACAGCCTCCACAAATAGCACCATTATTATTCATGCAATCCAATGAACATATATTCGTGATCCAAAAGTAAAAAATCCAATCAAAATATAAAAATCTAGGTAAAAACAAGAATCATAGTAGGAGAGAAGTAATAAACGATGCTTGCTGCTAGACAGTATATCCCTCAATTGCTAGAATATTTGCACAAGATGCATTCCAAACAAGGTACTGCTCCTTGTACTTTGTGTCCCTTTTCATCTTCCTCTGTAGATGCTTGAGTCTGACTTCGGCAAGACGTCTGTTGTTCGGCATTTCTGGCCTTTTCTTGAAAGGCAGTGGCATTATCAGGTGACCGTCTTCATTCTGTGCGATGGTAGCTTCCAAGTGCTTGACGAACTCTATGTCTTCTTGTGAGTAGGCTATGTCCTTACTGGACCTCTCAGAGAAATCTGCCTCTAGGGCCTTAAGCACATCCCTTGGTGCAATCCCTGGCAACTCCTGTGTAGCCACTCTGCCACATCGACTGGAATCGATGTTACCTTCTTGTGTGTTTGCTGCACCGATGACACTCCATCCCAAGTCTGTTCGGATAGCGTAAGGCTCAGCATTGATGCCTGTGACAACCTGTCTAGGAACTAAGGATTTAGGTCAATTCTATCCTATCAACAATCCAACTTCACATCCTTGGAGAGCAGACGTATCCCGAGCGATATCTTGAAGATGTGGCCACTTGTCGGCAGTTTTCCTAGTTGGAATATGCTCGCGGTCTGCTGGAATAAACTCTTGAGTATAGCATTTTGAGATCTTCACCTTAGTGTGAGATGTCATGTCTCTTGGACACTGCATCGCACTGGATGGTGGATGAGGAGGTCATGGTCAATAATTGCAGTCTCAAGGGCTGTCGCTAAACGCCTAAGCTCTGAGCTGCCTCTTCTAGGACGAATGAGGCCTCACTCTGGGTGTCTAACAGACGTATTAGGGAAATATCCCCCGAAAAGGAATAGCCCTACTCTATGCACTACTTCGCCCCCAAGCCCTAGCCCCCTCCTGGCCACTGCAGGCAGGTGTGCTACACACAAGGGTCGATCACACAAAATCACTATCACCTCACTGACTTAAAACAATATAACGATTTTAAATAACGATTTTAACTAAAATGCAAAACAAATGGTGCCTCAAATGACACCACCAAGGATCACTTACCCCTTTTTTATGACATCATTCAATAACAATACAGAACAATACAGACATTGCAGAATATGACGTCAGCTTCGTGTTGCATTCAGAATCCACCGAAATGCAACTTGAGCAACAATAATAATAACGATACATGAAACCATTACAGACTTAACACTAGTATACCTACTAGTTCCACATAAATTACAAAACACACTAAGGATGCTCTTGGTCTATTAAAATGGTAATAAACATTTCCAATCCTTTGATTAAACTTTCACTGCAGTACTTTAAAAAATAAGATAGACAAAAACTGTTCTAAAACTCACTCATCGTCGGGAAGGTTTCTTCTGTGTTGAGTGCAAATGCGGGTAGGGTGCGTTGTTTTTCTTTTGCATCTTCTGCCTTTTAGTGACATACATGTGTATCGCACTGCCGGCTCCCTGGCTAGACGTGGCATAATTATCTGGAGAAGAGAATGAAGAAACATTAACAACAAATAACTACATAAATAAGGTATAGACCTCAAATATGGTTCATGGTCAGTAGACTTGGATTTTTTTTTCACAACTTAATATGAGAATTAATAAATCAATTGTTATTATTTGTTCATAGTCCATTTATTCCATTTAAGTTATCAATCTTGATAGGAATTATAGTAAATAATTCTTCTGATTTTTCTTGGCCAATATTCACCTCAAAATGCTGATTATATTCAGAGGATTTCATTTTTTTTGAGGGGGGGGGGGTCCTGCTAATGGGCCACCCTGCCTATAAATAATGTCCCAACCTCAATTTTTCATCATATCGAATCGCGTAATGCAGGCGAGACCGCCGAGAGCGTTTCCCTTGTTTATAAATGATATCTCAAATGTTATACAGTTTAGTACCATTCCACTGTAATACTGATTTTATTAACACAGTGTCCTGCTCGTCTACACCAGATGTATGCCGTCGCCGGAGATACCTGGCTTGGTCATAGACTTTTCTCCAAGATTGGTTGATTTGTTTAGAATGCGCTTGCATGGATTGCACTCTATCTTTAGATGAGCTGAGTTGGTTTCTGCTCTGTTCAAGATCTTCTCTCAACTCTTTGACGATGCATTATCATCCATCAGCTTTGTTATGCTTTCATCTCTCCTTTTGATCCTTTTGTTAACATTCCTGGCGTTTACTTTCTGAAGTTTTCATGGACATGCTACAATTTTTTTCTCCTATTCAAGCAGTTCTTTTTCTTTTTCTTCATACTTTTTCTTGTAGGTGTTCAGTTCCTGACAAGTTGGATCAAACTATTCAGTGATTCTCTTCATCTCGTTGCACAGAGATATAAAACTATCCTGTAGGGTACCTGAATCAACAAAATCTTTCTCTCTTGCTTTACGCATGTCACCCTCCTCTAGAAACTCCAGGTGATGCTTTTAGTCTTCTATCGTTCCTTCCATTCCTGCCATTTTATGTTTGACTCCTTTGTTCTCTGTCTTGATTTCAGCGATTTGAGCTCTCATATTCCTCTTCCTAGGTGTGTCTGGTGTCTCCAATTGCTTGCTTCTCAAAACTAAGAATTCCTCGACTAGTAGACTGGACAACTTTTGTACCTGTAAAATACCTTTATCATTTTTTGGGGTTATGTTTGTGCTGTTTTAGTACCTCTTGAACATAATTACCAAAGATTCACTCGGACAGGTCTGAGAACAAATATCACAACACATGTAGAGAGGGTTCACTGCCGTAATAGGGTCCGAAGAGCTAGAGAAAGTGCTCTGACAAAAGCTTTCAACGACACTCAGTTCTGTTTAAACAAAATGCCTTCATTTCTTTTGTTACATGCCTCCTAGGTGTATCATGGCCATTCACATACGTGATAGCATGTCCATCTCCTTGGTCCCTAGATGCCCTTCCAATTTCTTGAGTATACGCCTCTAAATCAGAAGGGCATCCCCTGTGTATCACCTGACGTACTGCTGGGTTATCTATTCCCATTCCAAGGGATACAGAAGCTAGGATCATTGGTCCATTATTTCAATCTTGGAGAGATGAAGTGATCCTCTTCTTAGCTGATTCTGGTGCCTCAGAGTGATACTTTCCTATGCAGTTTTTGCACATTACATAATGTGCTGACGAGCACTGCTCATTTAGTAATGACACAATATTGTCACATGTTGTGTGGAGTTTTGTGAGAGATGAGAAATAAATTATCAAGAATGTCTTTCCTGCAGTCCAAAGTATTTTTTTTAGCTCCTCATTGGGGCAGTTTTTGCATTCATGGATTCTTTGACTTCCTCGCTAGAAGCTCATCCCCTTCGATGTCTCTCGTAGAACCTTCTCTCGCCATTCTTCAAGTAACTGCACAAACTTTTTGTTTACCACGCGACGATTAGTCATGGTATTTTGTTACCTTGAGGAGAAGTTCCTTTACAAGTTTTTGAGTTTCTTTGGCATCCAGAACTTCCAGAACAAGCAGTTCAGTCATCGCTTCTACAGCTTCATGTTAAAGAGCATTGCCAGTTTCAGTCAAAACTTCACCTTATCCTAATCCACATGTGCCGATCTCAGTAGATGCCAACATGGTAGCATAAGGTGTCTTAATTTTTTAGTCGTGCCATCAATAGTGCGACTGGAACTTTGCTGGTTATTATGGCCCCCCTCGCAATACGCTTGGAGAGCAATGCTTGCTCAAATTCCACTTAAATGATGCACATTGGTATCGGGAGTCTACCCTAGTCTAAACCCGCTACTCGTTCTAATACTAAAGGAATGATGTCCGACACATGTTTAGAGCTGACACCTCTAGAAATAAGTTTGTAACATACGACTCGTATATCACTGTTGTACATCCTATCTTCAAAGGATACAATCTCCTTGTTGCCCATGATTTAATCTAGATCACTATGAAGGGTGTCACTTTATTCTAGTTCTTGCAATTGTTGTTTCAGTTCTTTGTTCCCCATATCAAACTCATCAGTTTTAGTACATTTGTCTACATTGTACATCACAGATTCTGTTCTATATTTCATAATTGATATCATTGAAGCCAACTTCAAAGAGGTCATCTGGTAAGGCAATGGGACGTATTCATCATCTTTAGTCTTGCATACAATATTTCTGTTCTTCATCGAAACACGTTTCACAGATGAAGACTTCTTTGCTGCCCTCAGAACTGCATATCTTATCAGAGTGAGGTCCCTTAAATCCATCTTTGCTTTTAAGTGTGAAGGGGGCATCATACAAACAATCTCGCTGCCTCCTGTTGCTCAGACGAACAAAAGTCTGACAAACTCGGCGGATTTCTTTCCAAGGCAATGGCAAGATGAAATATTGATTCCTTTCAGGTCTACCTCTGCCTGTATCGCCACTTCGCAAACTTCTCCTCAAATTCTTCCTCTGACCCCTCTTCCCCGGACCCCTCTTCCCCGATTCCATTTATCCTCGGGTTATCTCTACTGCTTTATTGTTCCAGGTGGTCAGTCTTGTACTGTCTTGTACAGCAATGTTTCTATAGCGGAAGGCTACCGCTTAAATATCTCGCTAATGGTTGTAAGCATCCGTTATGTTAGGTTAATGACTTAAATACCTTGCTAATGATTGTAAGCGTCCGTTATGTTAGGCTAATGACCTCTGATGTGTCCATTGCTCTGGTAATTTGACCGAGCAAACACACTTCCATAACATCCATCATTCTACATAGGCTTTGTTCCAGTTTTGCCATATGTTTTGTTCTTGTACGAGTCTTGTACCCTTCCTCTTCCTTTTTGTTGTGGCACTTTTAATTGCTGCATTGACTGCCGTGACTCCTTGGAAGTTACAAGAGCCGATTTATTGAGGTAATATTCTATTGAGGTAACATGTCCTCCTCCATTCCCTGTCACTTCCACAGCATCCATCATTCTACATAGGCTTTGTTCCATTTTTGTGAGCTGTTCCTACTCCTCGTACTGCCTCTGTACCATGGCCTTACAGCTCCGTCTGTACTCTGCCAGTTTCATCTTTGAGACTTCTCCAGCCCTTCTGCAGTTGAACATGATAAGCTGACAAACCAGAATTTGTTCAAATTGTCCCAATCTTCTTTATTAATCACTTCCTTTGGCTTCTAGGTAGTTTGTCATTTTCACGACATCCTAATTTGTAGGCAGAACCATGAGATTGTTCTTCTTCTGTTTCATAGCCTTCCCATGTCGGTCTTCATCTATCTAAAGAGCTATATTAACTTTTTTAATGACTCTGTTTTGAATACAATGCCAGCTGGGATGTTGTTTCCGAGGGTTTCAGCTCCTGCATTTAAAGAGTAACTAAAAGGTACGGTCTAGACTGGCTTCTGTCGCTTCACCAACATCCATATGTTCCCGGTTTGAACGCAAATCTATTTTCTTTTTTTACAGGAGAGTTACCTGGATCTCTTTGGTTTCTCTTTATAGAAGACAATGTGCATTGAGGTGCTCATAGCCTCAGCCCTCGGGTATTTATTTATTCATGTCTTCTTAATAAAAGCAGGGTGGTCCCATTCAAGCCGCAAGGCCTGCTTTCCAAGCACTATGAACATTACTGATAAAGAAAGCGGACAAAATATACAGTTCCTCAGGTAGACAAAGGAACATCCCTTCATTGCTATTATGTAAAATTGTGTAGAACAGGTGTCACATGCATATTCACCTTTTTACATAATAGCAGTGAAGGGATGTTCCTTTGTCTACCTGAGGAACTGTATATTTTGTCCGCTTTCTTTGTCAGTCATATTCATAGTGAAGGGAGCCCTGCTGTAACAAACAAATTACATTTCAAATATCTTACAATACACATACAAATACACAAAATATACAAGAAAAACATAATATAAACAAACTATAAAACAGTTCATACAAATAGGAAATTAGATAAAAATGGAAGAGGAGAGAGAGTAAACCAAAGAGAGAGAGAGAGAGGGTGGTAGGAATACTTCATGTACCAGTAAGCAAACGCAAAATAGAAGAAGTCAATTAACCGAATGTGGATAGGTAGGCTGCTATTGGCTCTTGTTTTCCCTATATCAGCCTCAGCAGTTGCGATAAGTGCCACTCCTGCTCGGTTCTTCCTTTCTAATTTTTAACAGTTGTTACATTTTTCATGAATTCCTCTTTTGTTTTTAATCATTCAGATGCATGAATTCGTGATCATATTAATTTGCCTAACCCAAATCATAATTCCACATCACCTTCGAGACAGTATGGGGAAGTAACACCAAAATGCTTTTCATGATATCTTTCCTTTCAGTAGCAAAGTTGTGCACATTCATTTTTGATAAGTGAGGACTGATAATTACAAAATTGAGGTTCAGGGTGAATTTTATATGATTGAAGAATGGTCTCTTACACTTGTAGTATTTAAAGAGGGACTATTAAACTGAAACACTAACCTTTACATTATTAACTTGCAACCAAATATTAGCAATATATATATATATATATATATTGTAACTGCATTTGAGGCCGTAAAATACACAATAGACAAAGGTCTCTACGGGGGCATTGTTGAACATTTATTCTTGTCTTCCGTTCATTTCACTCCTGTATCGGTGGGTTGACGAGTTCGATTCCTAGATTCTATTTTATTTGAATAATACCGTTTACGTGATACACGAATTAAAGTTGTTAATCTATTTCTATAATGTTTATATCTATCTTTATTCTGAGCAGTTGGTTTATGCAATGATATTTTATACAAACGATTGCGAGTTAAAATTGATTTCATTAATCCCCGAGTAATCCATGGCTGTTTTATACTTATATTATCTTTTTTTTTAATAAATGGCATATTCTTATCTATATAAAAAGAGAGTTTATGCAAAAAGTTTTGATATCATAAATTAGCATCTTCAACCGAGAATATCTCGCGCCATTGTTCTTTGGACAAATCAGAAATTAAAGAATCAATAGTTTGTTCTGTTTCTTTCCTCTTTTTAACGAAAATATTTTTCCTAGTTTTCTCACTAATGACATTATAGCATATAACAAAAATGGGTAGATGATCTGATATATCTGAGTACAAAATACCATTTAAATGTTCTGCATGTATGACATTTG